CCCTACACCAACCTCAAGCACACTTGTCTTCAAGTTCTAGTCCTTCTGTAACACTCTGCCTTTATTTAAATGACAATTTTCTTTCCAGTGTGCTAGCCAAACTGCCTGTACTTCTAAGAACAAAGAGACCCTGTAAAGAAAACAGGCTACTGCCAGAGGATGGGAAGATACTGAGTTAGATCAATCTGAATCACTAAGGCACAGGCCCACTGCTGCGGGCAGATAAATCTGTCATCTTGCAAAACATCTGGTGGCAAAACACCTCAGTATCCCCTCAGGTATCAAGGGCCTTCAACAGGCTAGTACAGATTAAACCTTCCTTTTCTCTCCTAAGAGAATAGGGGGGTGGTACCAAGCAGAATTTAAAAAAACTTTTAGGATTTCCAAGGCTGCAGAAGAGCTACATAAACACAGTCATACAAATACACTGGGCGGGCCAGGACAGCAGACCTCTCCGCTTCTGCTGTGGCATCTCTCTGTGCCAAAGCAGAAGGCTGAAAACAAAGGACATGCAGAGTCAGAAGAAAGAAAAGGAAGCGCTCAAATGTATGTCGGTGGCAGGAATGCATAGAGGTGTATTTAGGGGCAACAGAGGAATTAAGAGTAAATGGAGCACCAGCTCACATGCAGTGTCATGGCCACACAGTTCTCGCCCACAGAACTTTGCTTGCGCCAAAGCATTACGTAAAAAACACAGTGGTATTACCATGCAGCTTTCCTCTTCCAGTTAAAACATAACACGGCTAACAGCATTTTGACCCCAAAAGAGACACTACTTAAAAACACACTACACAGTGGAAATGCTAACAGGATTTACACACAAACACTGAAGAGGCAGGGTATTTTGTAAACACTCCCTACACCGCAGGCTGACCTGAACATTCCTGACTGATTCTGCTTTAGGGAAAACCAGCTGAAGAAATTAACCGGCAATGCTTCCACCGCTCAGCAGACGGACGCAGCTTTGACATTTGTAGTTTGCGGCACAAACGACGCGACGAATCGGTAACCTCGCCATTCCCGGGAGCCCGCTCCCGCCCCGGCTCTCAGGAGCGCCCCAGGGAGAGGGAAACGCTGCTGCCCGCTC